TTAAACCATTGCCAAATAGGTTTTTTTTCCTTCCAAATTTTCGTTAAGGTGGCATATTTGAAATTTTATTTTTTTGATCAAACTATATTTATTTGAATTAATTCACAATTAAAGAATAACCAATTATCACAATTAAACATCTGCACTTATTGCATAAATTAAAGTATCTATTATAATTAGTAATTGTTAAAAATTATTAATTATTATTAACTATTATTAATTGTTAATAATAAAAAAATTATTAACACTGGTTACATTGTGTTTGTAATGTTGCAATTACATTATTTTTTCAAAACAAATAATATAAAATTCCGTTATTTGTATATGTATTTTTACATAATAACTATTTATTTTAATATAAGAAAAGAAACATTTTTGAACAAATCAAGTTCTTATCCGCATGATTTCATGTGACTTTGAATAGTAATAGTGGAGTACATGCAACTTCTTATCACTTGATGCATTTTTTATTAGTGAGTTTCTATCGTTAATCGGCAGAACACGAATTAACAATTAATTGGCTTATTTTTCTCATGTGTAAGAAAAAAAATTAGGTTTATGTTTTTTAATTTCACTACTCTAGTTAAAACACGTTGAGAACCAATTGAAACTACAAGAACTCCTCCCAAATATCCTTTTCCCTTCACTATTTTAATTTTATCATCACAAATCCCTGATCCGTTATTACTAACTTTCCCTTTCTGCATCGTCTTTAAATACCTACCAAGTTGTTCCATTCCATTATTAATTAATTCTTCCACCACAATTTGTTTAAATTTTTTCCCCTCTTTACACCAATAAAAATATTTCCTACCTAATAACTCATCTTCAGTTTCCTTTTCAAGTTCCTCATCTAACTCTTTTAATGATTTATATTCCGCGTTTTCAACCCATCTTTTTTTTACCCCGCTCAGAAGACCCACCAAGGAAATACATTTTAATTCCAATATTACGCTCGACTTTATTCCATTTTCATTCGTTCCACTGACAAAAATATCGATGAAGCCAAAGCGACCTTCACCTGTTTTTTTTTAACCCATCGATTATGAGACGTACTTCAGATCGACGGTGATTGGTTGGAAGTAGCAATTCTATTGCAGTCTGAAATCCAGGCTCGTTATAATCTCTAAATTCTCTGAAAGATTAGTATTTATGATAATTTAAAATTAGACTAACAAATGGTGAAATGTTACCTTGCAATATTACTTATACGCGTAATGTTTGTCAATGGGATCGTCGGCTATAAAATTAAACTATTGGAAGAATAAAATTAATAATTAAGCAAGAAAATTGATCAAAAAAAGAACAGCTATGCGCCCATTCAGTTGATTTCAGTTGCTTTGTTGGATATAAGAACAATTTCTTATAGATTTTTTCAATGATGGTAAGGACGCCAGATACGTACTGCCGGGACGTGGCCAGCAAATATGCACTGGATCGGCTAACTTTTGAGGACGTAGCTCACCTTGTTGAATCTAGGGAAGAACAGTCAGATACAAACAAGGTGTAGCCTCATCCTAACCCAAGTACCCGTTAAATGACAGGATGGTCCGAAAAAGCCAAATACGCAGGATTTTCTACTCATATGACTCATATGATGAGGACCGATCCTCACCTTCGCTGGGATAAATTATACCCAGAAAAGGGTAGCCTGACATAAGTATGCCCCATCCTATCCAATAAAACAACTTCGTTTCATTTTTAAGCGAGTACTCCAAGATAATCAGCATTATTCATCATAATTTCAACTGGGCATAGTTGGTGAAAAAAAAAAACACATATTGAAACAATATCTCACCTTTTTATCTAAAACTGATATGATTTCTCTGATCTCTTCTAGAGTTCTGGGATCTTCTTTTATTCTTCGTATTACTTTAAAGAAGCATCGATTATAGACTTCTCTTTTTGGCACTTTATAATTTTGCAAGACCCAATCTTCAAAATGACTTAACGACCATTCTTCGAAAGAAAAGGTGTAAAAATACCTAGAATACGGCCACTTCGATTTCTGTATATCTTGGATACAAGGAATTAATCTTTCCTGTGAAAACTCGCCTGCAAATCAAGAGACCAAATAAGTTCTTCAACAAACCAACGATGTATGTCGCGCATGAAATTGAAATCTGTTTCAAATTTAAAAATTACGCGTAACACATATACATACCACTATTAATTTCTATGATTAAATTTAAGATTGTTGTGAGAGGGCCCACCTTTAATTGACAACGAATTAGATCTTCTTTCTTCAGTAAAAGAAAGTTCGGACCTGATATCTTTTGGTTTTTCAAAAGTGAAAAATCTTCTTCGTCAAGGTTTAACTCTTGATTTTCTAAGAACTTTAATAATTTATTGGTATTCTATTTTTTAATGATTTCAAGTAAACCGAAAGGCATTTTCAAAGTGAAACTTATTTTTAGAATTTCTGCATAACAACAATAATAATAAATTTTTTAAACAATGTTTTATTACCCCTTATGGAAATTTGGCATGCAGAATTTCGATTGATATTACACGTATAATCGATCAGATAACTATTACGCGTCGCGTAGTCTTGTCGAAAATGTTTATATCCTGTATTAGTATGTGTTGGATTGAATGATTTATTATATTTGTTGAAGTTAAGCAGGCCTACATCATCATTTTCTATATGCTTATTTTTGGATGTAAGCTTTATATTGAGTTTATAAGGAATTTTTCTATTCTCTCCTACTGCCTTTCAATCAAAATTTGTTATCTGTTGTGCAGATCGATCATGTATAATTAGCCGTTGCATAAATATAAAATTTTTACACATTTACAACAAAATTGTCCTAGTAACAAAACTACCAACTGAAGAACCAATATAATAATAAAGAGCTGGTGAAATGATTTTCAGTTTTTAGAGTACAAAGTATTTTTTAAAATAGCCGATCATGTTCTGTATTAGTATACAATCAAAAAATTTTAAGATGAAAAATAACAAAAATGGATTGCATAATTTGAATGGTGTGTTATTTAGTAGCATCTTACCAAGCCATAGCACCTGTCTAACACAAAAGAAAAAATTCTGAGGTCGAGAAAAATAATTTTGATTTAGTGATGGAAAGATTCATGTAAATTATATAGGATGTTGCATCTCAATTAGTAAACTTGATCTTAACTATGATGAAAATATAAATCATTTATGTTATTTAATTATGCATACTTTTTTAATATTAATAAATTATTTACAAATTATTTAGTTGAAAGATGATGGAAAATATGAAATTCTAACGTTGGTATATAAAGATACAAAAGAGATAGATTATAGTGACAACCCTTTACTATCTGGTATATTAGATTTAAAATATTTATCAATATATTGTCCTGAATGGGTCTGATACACTTTAACGATAGACACTTAATCGACAGATCACTTTACTGATAACACGTGGGATTACGTTTAACCATCACTAAGGTTGCTTGTCTAAACTCATTTTGGATTTAGCAAAACGGTAAAACCTTTAGTTTCGCTAAATTTTTACTAAGTGTTTGATATAGTTTCGCCATTTTTATAAGCTTTGATATAGTTTTACCTTTTTCCAAATTTCGCAGATTTTTTAATAAGGTTTTAATATAATTTAACCAAGTTTTACTTTTACCAATTAGACGTCTGTCTAAACTCTTGATTTCGTCCAGCAACCTTAACCATCACACAATTAAACAACTAATAAAATGCTAAAATGTCACACTATATCTTGTCGGTAAAGTGACTTGTATCATAAATTCAATGCCAATGCCTCTTGAGTTACAAAAATTTGTTGATTTAAACTATAAAAATGAAAAATTCCACTATGTTGATGGAAAGTTAATTGAAAGCTTGCCGATAGTAATTATTGGATTTCAGATATAAATAAGTTTTATATTAATTTTATCTAGGAGTAATTCTATATATCATTAAAAAAAAAATATAATAGATGGTCATAATAATAATAAAGTTTGATCCCTGTAATTCTTGGTAATATCAATATTCACTTTGTTTGGTTTTGTTGTAGTATGCCACATATATAAATAAACCCCTATAAAATAAAAATTAAAATATTAAAATCTGTTATGTATCTAAATTAAGAAAAGAAGAATGATAATTTACCATTATTTAATAATATTGATGCTTCTAAAAATGTATCTCAAAAGAACTACTCTTTCCAAAATTCAAAAGAAAGAACTTTATATTTATGCTTAAGATAATAAAAGAACCCAGACTTAGTATGTTAATTGGATTTAAGAAGCAGAATGACAGTTCAGAAACTATCAATCCAAATTCAAAAGGCATAAATCAGTTACCTATCTAGAACTCGAGCTTACTTTCAAGGAATACTTTTTAAATTATTAGCAATATGACACTTATTGAAAAAGCTAAAATGATTGCTGATAGATTAAATATTCCTTAAAATACATTTCAATTTTTCTCAGAATAGTTCCATAAGTTCAAAGACTACAATAGAATTTATCAATAAAAGCTTGAAGGAAAAGCTTTATCTGCCAATAAAGCTATTATTACTAGTACTAAAGATGGCACTGTAATTAAGAAGTTACAACTCGGTAAGTTGTAACTTGGGTTGCAACTGGTTGCAACTACTTGTAAAATTTATTTTAATATAAAAATTTATAAATAGTTGCAACTAGTTAAAAATTTTAAAATTAATTACAGCTCCATCTTTAACTAGTACTTTATTCTTATTAAGAAATATTGTTCCAATTATTCTTTTGAAAGAATTTATAACATAGATGAAACAGGACTTTTTTATAAGTAAATCCTTAAAATAAAAAAAATCTAACATGAAAATTTTATTTATCTTATATAAATTTTGATTATTTGTAAATTAGAATTTAATCAAACACTAACTAAATAATTTTGCTAAATATAAAATGAACAAAAAATGCTTTCAGTTGCATTATATAAATGCCAATGGTTTATATAAATTAAAACCTTTAATCATTGAAAAATTTAAAAGATTACGTTGCTTTAAAAATATAAGAATCCAAATTATGCAAATAATATATCATAATAATACCAAATTCTGAATGATTATGTTACTCTTTCAAGAGTAGCTTTAGAAATTTGATCATTAAATTGGTCTAAAGTATAAAAACTAATGCATATTACTTCTTTTTGATAACAGTTTCAACTATAAACTAGTTATCCTTATCTTACAATATACTGATGTCTTTTTTATCTCTGAATATAACTTTAAAAATTCAACTGATAGACACTAAAATAATTATTCCTTCAAATGAAACTATTGTCATTTTCATATATAGTAAGTAAAAATTATTAGATTATCCTTATATTTTGATATTCAAATCTAATTCTTTATTTTTTAAGTTTATTGTTATAATATATGGGAGCTTTGCAATAAAAAGGAAGAAAACTCTAAAAAAATTTTTTTTTGAGTTAATGTTAAATCTAGACTTATTTTACAAAAAAAAAGTCATAATTAGCTTAGAAAGTAAAATTTTAATTTTTTTTAAAATTTTCTTCCTTTCTATTGCAAAGCTTCTATATATAATTACATAACTATATAGAGAATTTATGAATTGATATTTTACAAGCAATTTATTTTATTATCTAAGCTTGAAATAAAATTAATGCTGAAATAATTAGTAATTACTGACATTATACAAAAATTCTTCTCAATGTAAATGTAGATTTTAGAAATATTTTTAGAAGCTATTCACCAAAATGAAAGCTTAGTACTTCTTAATCTTATAAATTCATTTTGAGTTCTTAATCTTTTCTATCTAATACAAATAAAAGAGTTTTTAACATAATAGAAGAGAAAGTTATTTACAAAGTTTCTAATGATAAGCAAATTGTTGAAAAGCTTGTATATCTCTTTAAAAATACAATAAGAAGAATATGAATTTAGATGAAATAGATGATAATAATAAAATTCCTATTATTAATCCTAATGCTACAATTGTTAGCTTAGAAACTGTTTGTATATTTCTACTTTAAAAGGATAATGTGAAAGAATATATAAAATTAGTGAGAAAAATCAAAAATTTTTTAGAATTAAAAAAAACAAGTTTAATGTAACAAATTAAAATTAACACATATTTTTGTTAAAAAGTAATTATATTTTTACTTTTGTGTATTAGAAAATAAATTAAATTTATTGAAATTTAAATAAATATATTATTTAAAAATATATCAAATTAGTAGGGATAGGTCAGTTTAATTTTATTCTATTTTATGAAACTGATTCTTGAATTGAACTAAACTAGATTCTTTATATTATTGTTATAGATTTATTAAAATTTAAGATAAATTTTTAAAAAAAATAGCAGAATATTTATGACTTATTTGATAAATTTCTATAAAATTAAATAGTATTAAACTTCAAATTAACTAGTATTAATCTTGTATTAAATTAGTGGTAATTATACATTAATAACTATTATTTAAAATTTAAAATTGCAAAAATCATAAAATTTAAAATTACAAAAATTACAAAATTTTTAAAATATTAAAAAATTAGATAATTATTTACAAACTTGTTTTATGCTAATGTATTTTATTTTGAAATATTGAAAAATTAGATAATTATTTGCAAACTTGTTTAATACTAACATGTTTTGATATAATTTTATATAAGGAAAATTTTTATCACAATTTATTTTTTTTAATTATCAAATATTTTCTTAAATTTTCTAAAAATGCCTGATACTATTGAATGGTCTGAAGAAAAAATGCAATTTTTGATTAATTTGAAAGAGATAGAAATGAAAAAGATTTAATAGATCAAAGTTACCTTTTTGAAATAAAATTGTAATGCAAATTAAAGAAAATTTAGAGATAGCTTTTACTAATATGCAGGCTAGGGATAAGTTTAAAGAGATGATCAAAGATTATAAAGTAAGTAAAATTTATATAAAAAAAGAGATTAATTATATTTAAAAAAAATATATATAAATTATTAATTTTATTTTTTAGTTATTTTAAAAGTATAATGAAGGAAAATCTGATAAAAGATATATAAACTCTATCAGCAGTCATTTCTTTCATTTCTTATTCATAATAACTTTAATCTAAATCAATATCATGTAATGTGATACTATTAAATTTTTTAAGTTTTGGTAAAAACAATTTGATTATTTATATAAGAATATAATTTGGAAGTTTATATATAGTGCTTGTATTTAAATATTTTTTTTTTTTCAGTATATTTAATTATGTGATTAGTTTGAATATTAAGAATTATGTAAAGATAACTCTTATTGTGACATTCAGAATTTTGGTAACTAAAAGTATGACTGAAGCTAAAAAATTTAGCAGCAATAAAATAATTAAATTCGGAATTATTCTAAAAGGTATCAATATAATATTATGCATCTTCTGCATCTGCATCACAAAAGTTGAAATTCATATACATTCTATAATTCCTCTTATAATAGCAAAAAATGGATACTTATTAATTATTCATTCTATATCTTACAATAAAATAATCAAAAGTTTAAGCAAATTTTAGGCATATCAACATCATCCAATATAATACATACATACTCTGATAAGTTTAGAAGGTTTTCCAAACAAATTTTACTTCAAATTTGCTCAGCTATAAGAATTTCATCAGGTCCAAATGTTGGTTGTAAAGTAAAAAAACAAGCTTTAGTAAAATCATTATTTAAATATGTTGCAACAAAGTCATTAAGCAGATGATATTCAAAGGTTGCTAAATTTTATTATATAAAATCATTGCAAAGAAAATAAAAATTTATATGCTTTTACAATCAAATTCTGATAAATTTATTTGATCAATTCGTAAGAGAATATCATATTGATTGATATTAAAATTTAACTCAATGTGAATAACCATGAAAAATGTAATTGAATAATGAAATTAAACATGCAATATATATTATTAGAAGTTATCAATATACTTAAGATTTAATTGATATCTTTCAAATCTATAAAATTAAATTTAATATCAAAATTATATATTTTAATTAATTAACTTATAAAGCATAATTTTTTTTAATTTAATCATTTTAACAGGTGATAAATGTCGTTAAATTGGATAATCATAACTTTTGCATCATTTTTTTTTATTAATATTACTATTATTTGACTTTAAAGAATATATATATATATATGTTATGATCTAAGAAAATCAAGTTCTAAGAAATTTTTGACTAAAATTAATATCTTATTACATTTTAATCTAAATATAATAAAAATTAAAATGCAATTAAAATCTTAATTTTAATAAAAAATTCTTAGAACTTGATTTTCTTAGATTATAACCCATATTTCAAAATTTTTGTAATTTTTCATATTTTTCATCCTCTTTTCTTAAACTAGAAGAATATGTCGCTGGAATAGCTTCTTCATTAATTTTTTCTGTTATGATCTACTCTTGATCTATTTGAATTGAATTTATAGATAACACGTCTGTATTATCTAAAAATATAGAATTCTGTTACATATTTAATAGATGTATAAGAGTTATTTGTTATAATGAACTTTCATATTTATTTTGTTATTATCAAGTATTTCATCTAATGACATCAAATTTGAAATTATATCACTAAATGCAAATTATAATATTGATTTTGATGAAGACAAAGTCAACAAGAATGTACTATTATTATAGGATTATTTTAATAAGAAAATGTGGCAAAGTAAATAATCAACATGTTTCATTAAAT